TGCCTGCTGGGAAACGCTGCCCCTGTTGAATGACGGCGCTCGGCGCCTCAGCAGGGGACAGCGCCTGGCTGACCTCGTCTGGGGGTGGACGGCAGATCGAGACCGTCCGTAGGTCGGGGAGGCGGCGGCGGCGAGGGGCCCCTTCGCTGCTGGGGTTAAGAAGTCTGCCCGCATGGGTCGTCTCCGGGAGCCCGTCCGGAGTGGATGCCGCCTTCCCTGCTTTTGCGGCGAGAAGGTGCCAGAACCAGCCGGCCTGGAGCTTTCCGGATGCCTCGCAGTCCTCCTTTCCAGGCAGCAGGGCGGGCCCCGCGTCGCAGGTGGTGGCCGGTTGCCCCAGTTAGCGCTTGAGCCTGGAGGCTGCTCACGTCTTTGGCCCCTGAAGCACCTGAGATGGAGGGGAAGGAGCAAAACCTCACGCTTTCCTTAATTTCAGGAGCAGAGCAACAGCGTGGGTTGATTGCGTCTCTTTAGGCAATAAGAGAGCAAGTCGAGTCTGTTCTTTCTCAAGAAGGGCATCTTTACAGCATTCAAACAAGCAGCTTTTTTAATACTGTAAAATTATTAGTCGTGTATCTTCCGTGTTCTTCTGCTTAACGGATCAAATATATACACTAAATCAGGCTTGTCAACAGGCTCCAAAAGTTCCTGAGATGCTTTCCCCCCCTAGTTCAGTAACAGATACGTCTGCTGCATTTCTTCATTGAGTTCGGAGGGGGTTAAGGCCTCCTTCGTCACATCCAATACTGAAATGCGTAATCTAATTCTTAAAAAAAAAAATTTTTTTTAAATATGCTTTCCACCTAGCAAGTTGTGGGGGACAATGGAGCTTTAGAAACAAGCTTTTTTATTCCATAGATAACTCAAAAATCAAGTGGACTGATGCAGTAAGGTTGGAGAGAAATGTTCCTCTTCTAGTAATGCATTTATTAATTGCATGGAGTTTCTAGTTGCAGCTAGTCACCAGGGATGTTTTAAATGCAAGAGTGCCTTGCAAGCTTTCCTCTCACTGTTGTTAATTCTCCCTAACATTATTCATAAAAACTACACAGCAGCAGAAAGCTGCCTGTATATATTTGCTTCCGTTGAAAGCTTTTATTATTTGTGTACATGTCTGTTGTTTTAGTTTGACATCAATCAATCTTTTGAATTGTCACATTTTATAATAACTTACCAGAAGGAACAGAAAAATCCTTTTAGACCACTTTTAAACAAGACACTTGATATACATGATAACTTACTAGCATTAGCGATGGTGGCAATTGCTGTATTCTAGACAAGAAAGAGACAGTATGGATTTTTCATCTGTCACGGAAAAATGGCTTTGTTTCATGCTATAATTCTGCAGAATCTATTGTTGCTTAGATAAATCATTAAAATGAATTGGGATCCCAGTCTAAAATAAACTTAAATATTTTCAGGAAATGGGTTTTACTCATTTCTAAGGAACTTCTGCTTAGAAATGTATATTTTTATATAGATGTTTTCTTGGTCACAGACTCCACTACCAAAATGATATACTTTTCTGGCTATTATTTTTTCTGGTTTATCAGTTATATTGGCTGCACTCAGTTTTAATTGTTGTTTATGTGTCCTTTATTTCAATCATGACTTCTGGTAACTATATGGATAGATCCATGCAGGTTTCTTGACAACATTGTTGGAAGTTTTTTGGCAATTATTCCAGAATGCTTTTCAACTTCTCAGTCTAGGGCTGAAAGAAAGTGAGTAGACCATAGTTGCCCACTTAGCTTTTGTGCATTAGAGAGGACTAGAACTCAGGTCTCCCCGTTCTTAGTCTAGCACCTTTACCTACTACACCAAATTGGCCCTCTCAGTTTTAATTGCTGCAGTTAATTACAGGGCATTTGTGTGCCCATGGATGAAATTGCCAAATCCTAACTACATTTGATAGCAGTCAGAGAATCATTGAGATGCATAAGACATTTACTTTTGATTAAATAAGCACTTGTGAATAAGGAAATCCAAGGTAATGGTGCTGAGATGAGGAAACATAAATTTCAGATTGGAGAAGAGCCTTTGCTAAGTTTTTCTAATGCTTGTATTCGCAGCTTC